TTGTTGTATGTGTATATGACAAAATAAAGAAAAAACACAATTTTACTCCAATATTTAGAAGAGATTTGCGATGAAATAGCTACGTAAAAAGTGTCAAACTAACATTAGGTAAATCACCTTTGATGTCTACTTTATATAAATATATACTTTTGTGTGGCAGTTTTGTTTTCTGTGATGGCTACTAAACCTACAAGACAAACATACCAAATTCTAAAATTGTTGAAAATTTAAATTTTATTTTAGTCCTTGTATTTTGTTAACTGCAGCTTTCAAAATAAGCTGGAATCCTATACATATGATGTACTCTATAAATCAAGACACATAAAATAAAAAAACAGCAAAAAAAATGCAAAAATGGCCTTTGTCTTAACCCCTTCCGGACGGAGTCAATAGTACACATTCTGATCAAAACAAAACGTAAACAAAAACTGGAATTTGCGCTATATGTCTGTTCAACTGTAATTCACCTCTTTCATATTAAATGCACCCACACTTATTATATATCATTTTTCTTTCAGGAGAAACAGGGCTTTCATTTTATATCAAATATTTATATATGAAACATAATTTATTATGAATAAAATTTAAAAAACTGAGAAATTTTAATTTTTTAAAAAAATTTGTAGTTCCGCCTCACATTTTAGCTGTAAATGTTATAATACTGTTCGGTATTACTGCAAAAAAGGCCCATATTTGTAATCAGCGATGTCTCACGAGTACAACAGTACCCCCCATTAACAGGTTTTATGGTGTTTTGGAAAGTTACAGGGTCAAATATAGAACGTTCCATTTTCAAATTGAAATTTGCCAGATTAGTAGTTTTACCTTTGAGACGGTGTGGTAGCCCAGGAATGAAAATTACCCCAATAATGGCATACCATTTGAAAAAGTAGACTATAGTGCCCTGAGGGTCCCCCTCCCGCCCGGCTCTGGGGAGAGGAAAGGGGTTAAAACATACCTTTTTCCAGCGCTGGGCGGGGAGCTCTCCTCCCATTCGGCTGAATGCACACGCGCGGCAAGAGCTGCTTTCCTATGGACGCTTGCGTGTTCTCACTGTGATTTTCACAGTGAGAATCACGCAAATGCCTCTAGCGGCTGTCAATGAGACAGCCACTAGAGGCTTTGAGGGCTGGATTAACCCATTTTCTCTGAAACTGCTATGTTTATAAAAAAAATGGGTTAACCCATTGTTTTCCTGGCACTATAGTGCCATGAGGGTGCCCCCACCCTCAGGGACCCCATCCCGCCCAGCTCTGGAAAGGGGAAAAGGGGTAAAACTTACCTTTCTCCAGCACTGGGCGGGGAGCTCTCCTCCTCCTCTCCGTTGGCTGAATGCGCGCGCATTCAGCTGGTCGCATAGTAAAGCATTATCAATGCTTTCCTATAGACGCTGACATGCTCAGCACGCAAGCGCCTCTAGCGGCTGTCAATGAGAGGCTTTGGGGGAAGGCTTAACCCATTGATAAACATAGCAGTTTCTCTGAAACTGCTATGTTTATAAAACAATGGGTTAACCCTAGCTGGACCTGGCACCCAGACCACTTCATTAACCTGAAGTGGTCTGGGTGCCTAGAGTGGTCCTTTAAGCATAAGACAAGCTTTTGAAGCGGTGTCCTTAAGGGGTTAAAAACAAACCAAACGAAATAGGGTGGGTAAGAGACACACAGGTAAAGGCACATGTAGCTAAAAATCCTTCCACGGGTGTTGGCCTTAAGGATGCTGCGTATTGATCCGGATTGGACTGCATGCTTTTGTTAGTTAGTATATAACACTAGCAGATATCATAAAACAGTGTAAACACATTAAAGTCCACAACATACATTCGGAGAGACATATCTAATTGCTAATACGCCATCAGACACCACTCTCACTCCTGTAAAACCCACGAGCAGATAGAATCCAATGGGCGCCGACGTAGAGCGACTCACATATATCACAATCAGGGAGCGTAATCCATAGCTCTATTAAAGATTCTTCTGCGCATGCGCGACGTGCCCTGTCTCCCCTTACTAACCGCGCCTGCGTCAATGCCGCCCCACTGCGCACGCGTATTGGTTTAAAGGCTTCATACAGCGACACACGGAAGAGCCGGTGCAGCTGTCAGTCCAGATCCAGATCGCGATAGTTGGCTAGTAGGTAGACAGTACAACATACTGCATGCTACTGATCAATCAGCTGACTGTATCGGTTCTGTACTTAATTCAATAACGTCCATGTGATATACACAGCGTAATACTAACCATTTATTGATAGAAATGACAAGCCCTGGGCATCAGTAGTGCTGGTGGGACCTGCCCGCCCTGGGTACTATTGTAACATATGGGAACACTGAAATACTATAGATAGAAATAATGGAACTGTGTATTAATGTTAATATTGGGATAAAATGGCTTGTTAGTCTAAATGCAGTGTGATGTGTACACTGTAGCATGTGGTTTATTTTTAAGCCATCTCTAAAAGAGGAGGAGGCCTTGGGCATTTTCCTCCTTTTTTCCCCCTCTTATTTCCTGCGGGGACAAGTCATTAACCCTTTAAGGACCTGTGAGTTTCCTCTGTTGCTCAACTTTAAATGGTCTTTTTAAGCAATATGGCATGCTTCCTTTAAGTGTCTTGCCACCATCCTTTTTGTTTAAAAAAAAAAACCACTCCAAATCCCTAAAGCTTTTCAGCTTGCTGAAGTGCTTTAGGAGTTAAAGGACCACCTAGACCATTTGATCTTAGTGAACTGGTCTGGGTATGCTGACCCCTGTAGCTGTTTTCCTACATTATAGGATCACGTTTTCCTGACACTATAGTGCCCTGAGGGTGCCCCACCCTCAGGGTCCCCCTACTGTGGCGCTGAAGGGGTTAAAACCCCTTCAGTGACTTACTTTAAAGGGACACTATAGGGAAAACCGCTTGGATTTTCTGACACTATAGTACTCTGAGGGTGCCCCCACCCTCAGGGTCCCCCTCCTGCGGCGCTGAAGGGGTTAAAAACCCTTCAGCTACTCACTCTTTTCCCCCGCTGGGCTCCCTTACCTCTCCTCCCCCGCCGACGTCAGCATCCTTGTCTGACGGCGCTGAATGCGCATGCGTGGCACTGCCGCGCGCACGCATTCAAAGTGTCCGTAGGAAGGCATTTTTCAATGCTTTCCTATGGACGCTCTGTGTGATTGAGGCTTTCCACTAGAGGCTGGCTTAACCCCAGATGTAAACATAGCAGTTTCTGAGAAACTGCTATGTTTACATCAGGCAGGGTTAACCCTAGAGGGACCTGACACCCAGACCACTTCATTGAGCTGAAGTGGTCTGGGTGACTATAGTGTCCCTTTAATCCAGCGCCGGTCCCCCTCGGCGCTGGTGACCTCTCCTCCCCGTCAGATGTCAGTGGAGCCGAATGCGCATGTACTCAATGCGCATGTATTCAAAGTGTCCATAGGAAAGCATTTCTCAATGCTTTCCTATGGACGCCCTGCGCGATGGATGCGAAATTTGCATCCTGCGTCGCAGATGCGCCTCTAGTGGCTGTCCAGAAGACAGCCACCAGAGGTTAGATTAACCCCAAATGTAAACATAGCAGTTTCTCTGAAACTGCTCTGTTTGCCTCTGAAGGGTTAAAACCTGAGGGACCTGGCACCCAGACCACTTCAGCTCAATGTACTATATTTCCCTTTAACATTTTGTAGATACATTGCAGGACTAAAAATACATCTCCACTTCTACTGCAATATCCGAGCAGACTCGGTTATGTGACATTCAAAGTCTTCAAGTATTACATGAGGACGTAAAGCGTTCTCTAATGTTGATCATAGGGAAGCATTGGATTTAGTGCTTTCCTTTGAAAAGCATTTGATTGGATGAGCCATTGCTCACTGCTCACTTCTTGTCCTAAAATGCTTCTCTGAGAAGCATTGTATAGGTCTAGGATGAGAAGACAAAGAGACCACTGCCTGCAAGGCCAGAAGAGTGAGTCTCAGGCCCGAAAAAAGGATGAATAAAACGTTTTTCCACTTTTCAGTTAGGAGTCCCTGAATATAAATAGGGAGTAGAACACTGTAGCATTAGGAATAAGGTTTTATTTTATAGGTACTGGGGGAAAAGTGAGAATGTAACATTAAGCAACACTCCACCATTGAATGCTGGCATGTTCCTTGTATATCATACTATTTCAGAATATTTTGATATTAACAGCAGTGATTGGCTGAGATTTCTAGGGTGTACTGTTGCCAGTAAATACATTTTTAGTGTGCCAATTTACTTTTAGTTGTCCTGAATAATTACAGTGGGATTAGGGTCTAGTTGTAGGCAAGTAGTGTTTTAACAGATTAGAGCGCACCCATCATAAAGACAATATTTACTGTAACTCATTTAACTCCCATAATTTATGCAAATTTGAGTTTCCAGCATATTGAATGCAGGTATCCCCTAACTCTGATTAAAGTTTTATTGCTGGGTTCCTTAAACTGGGAGTAACTCCTATTGTAAGAAAACAATAGTATATTTTTGTCCACCTTCAAATAACAAAAGACAGGTTTGACGGATCTTCCACCTTGGATCTGGTGAAAGCATTTTGAGTAGAATTTCACAGGACAAAGACCTGCGCTCACTCTTGTCATAGCTTTGCTGTGTGATGGTATTTAAAATTCTGTTCGCTACATGTTTAGGTTACCAGTGTTCATCCCGTTAATAATGTATCCCAACCCTATGTACCCTCTTATGCCATGCCTCTCCTAACCCTACGTCTCTCTATTCTTTAACAATCTCTATCCATAAGTCCCTTTACCGCAAGCCACCCCAAACCTGCCACAATCCTACTAACCATCAGCAGAGGGATCCCCCCCCCCCCCAATGTAAATAGTAAAATATGCAAGTGTATGCTATGATTTCTGTTCTTTTTTTAAAACATTTTTTATGTTGTGTAAAAACGGTCAAGATTAAACAGCTTTGACACTGAATTCCTTTGCATATATTTCAAAGAAAATGGAAATATAAAATAACTACACTTAATAAACTTAATGATGCTATTGTTCTTTTTCCATCCTTCTATTACAGGAGCTACTTTTGATTCCGCAGTTAAAATGGTATGTACAATAGTCATTCATATTTAAGCTATGGTTGTTTGCATTTTCAGACAGCAAACCATACATATTTATTTGAGAACAATTCTCAAATTGCGTATATTTATTTTACAAAGTAAGTAATTCTATAATAACTTAAAACCACTTTTATTTACATTAAAATTCTTCCAACAGATTTCACCAGTTTTTCTTTAATTTGCATGGTTATTTAAGATACTCTAATCTTTGTTTTGGTGACTTTTGATGGAGACTTATGTGCTAATGGAATACCCAATTAAAGTTTCAGATTCGGCTTATTCTTTTTGTATTTTGGGAAGAGGGGAGTTTTTTTTAATTTATTAATTTTTCCCCTCACTTTTTTTACATTTTCTTCCATCTGTTATACTTAGCATGGCCGGGTTAAAGTAAAGAGTACAGCAGAGCAGCAGGTGGCAAAACAGAAAGAGCGAGAGAAGAAGCTAAATCTGTATACCAGTGCAACACAGGCTGCCCTACGTAAGGTGCGTTCTTTAAAATCTATAACCATGGAGTGTACATGTTACAGATGCTCTCTGATTGATTAGGAAGATCTACACATCTATGGACATGTTATCACAAACTCAGCTTTCACTTAAAAGGACATTCTAGGCATTAAAGCAACATTGTTGCATCAAAGTGGTTACGATGCCTGGAGCACCCTGGTGCAAGCTCATGATCCAGTGTTAAACTGTTTTTGAATCGTTTAACGCTGAATAGGGGTCCCAGGCCACCTGCAGCCAAGCTCCGATTGGAGGTATAGCTAATGCAGAGTTATAGTCTGGCTTAGCTAGGCCAGTTTATACCAGTGATGGGTGGCCTTGAAACTTTCAGCTAGTCACTGAGGCCCATCACTGATTGGGCTTATGTGGAAGCATCATATTTATCAATAGTGAGGGGCCAGGCTGTGGGCAGCTGAGGACCCCCTGCAAATGTTTTGACACATAAGGGGACAGCCCTAAGAAGATGAAGTGGTTATAGTGATTAGCTTGTCCTTTTAAGTTGAGGCATAACGGGGACATGGGCTGTGTTTCTTATGGCTACATTTTTAGTTCTTTTAAAGTGGTAAAAGCGTAATCTAGGGAACAATCCAGACACACACAAAACTTCAAATTGCTGAAGTGCTTTTGTGTCTGGAGTCTGTAATTTTTTTAAATTATTTTTTGTCAGTTTGGAAATCGGCACTTTTATAATTGGAGGCAGAAACACCTCCCTGGCTGTCACGAAGAGAGCCTGCTTTTTTGTTGGGCTTTCTTTAGCTTCACAGAGCACAACTTCTCAATAAGCTGTACTACAGCTTGTATCAGTCTATTATATTGTATTGTCTTTTTCCCAATTGTACAGCGCTGCAGAATTTGTTGGCGCTTTATAAATACCTGGAATAAATAAATTGAGAAGCACTGGAAAGCCGTGTGCATTCTCATGGCTTCCACACAGAAGCTTATTGATGAGAAACCTGATTAGTGCATTCCCCGGCACAGACTGAAAGACGAGAAGAAGGAGGGAAGCACGTGCAAGGGCTGCTTCTTTTTGTTGTTTATTTTTTTTCATTTACCCCAAATAAAACATGCAGGAATAATGCATGCATGTTTTGTTTGCAGGTGGTACTACTACTAAGTAGTTAAGAAAGAAAACATTTAAATGTACATCCTGATCATAATGACATTGTTACGTAGTAAGTCTGTCTTGTTCAGCCTTTCGCACATCCCTGGCAGTCATATTTCTCATTGGATATGCTATTATTCTACATATTGACTATTTTGTTTTCCCCAAAAACACATCCAGATTTTGTTTCAGATCTGTACAGAATCTAAAAACCAACTTAATCAGGCCAAGAATTCTGTGTGTCTATTATTCTGTAAAGAATGATTTCTTCTGCTGTGGCAACATCTCCCTTCTAATTGGGTGGCCTCTTCTCCTTTGTACAGTCCTATTAATGGTTCGGCTACCAGAGAGATGTCTGTACTGGCCCTGCAAATATTTTTATAATGTCACCATTTCCCATTTGAGCTGTATTTGTTTTTTAGTTTTTCTTAGTAACTAAAATCTTACATTCCCTTAATTAATGTTGTTGCCTGTGTCAACCATTATCTTTAATTGCATAATAACCTCCTTTGAAACAGGTGCTCAAAATTGTGCTGCATATTAAAGGTGGGATCTTACTATTGATTTATAAAGAGACAAAATTGTAATTTCAGCTTGTGAATTAATACCTTTCTGCCTTTATCAGCTGCTACCTGACACTGCACATTGTTCCATAGCCTGTTCAGGACTATTCCTAAGTCTTTCTCATTTATTTTCCCCTTGGGATTTAAGTTGAGATTGTTCTCTGTTCAGCTGGTTTATTTTATGTAAATGCTGAAACATTACTGGAAGTAATATTAATAAATGATTGCTCATGATATGTTTAGACCTAGCCGCTCTTACTTGATGCCTTACCTAGCTCAATCTGTTTCCATCTAGCGTGATGCTGGGGAGTTGGATAACGAAGCACTGGAAGTGACTGCTCAGATATTAACTTTAAACCCAGATTTTGCTTCTTTATGGAACCTGAGACGGGAAGTATTTCTTCATTCGGGGAAAAGCAGGTAACATTACTGTTGATATCACAAAAAAAACCCAAATTATTTCCATCTTCACTAATCTCATCCTGGGCCTTGTGGTGTGCTGCTTTTAATTTGCTTTTGCAAAAAGTAATAATTTGATATCTCGCCTTCATCCTGCAAGCAGATCCTTAATGCAACATAGATTACTGTTCAAGGGGAAGCCTAGTACCATTACCACAACAGTGTGATGAAGTGGTTATGGTGCTTTGAGTCCCCTGGTATTGGCCCTTGAGTAAGAGTCAAAGCAATTTAGAATGTTTGACACAATTTTTCTGATATCCCCAGAGACCCATGGTCCAGACCCTCTTCAGATATTGCTAAAGCAGACAATCCTATTTCTGCCTATAGATCGGAATGGAAATTATACCCTTAATGAAGAAGTAGGAGCGTCCGCTTTAGTAACATCTAAAGAGGCGCTGGATCACTGGTGCTTAGGGGGCCTGAGTTCGTTTCAAACTGTTTGATAACAGTTTGTCATTTATCTCAAAGATGTTATCAGAGACCATCTGACACCATAACCACTACAGCACACTAGATGCTTAGAGTGGTTCTTTATTGTATTTATTAGAATGTAACAGCCATACTAGACAAAAACTGCAACTTTGCAATTCACCAAGTACTTCTTAAAACATATGCTCCTCATATTAACTAGTTTAGTTCCATCTCTTCCCATTCACAAGTATAACTGCTCTGAGAAGTATAGCGATTGGGATATTTTTTAACATATTAAGTGATTACCTGATATAATTTAAAAAAAGTGGACTCTTATCACTTGAGAAAGAATACATGCTAAACGATATACAGGGGGATTCACATACAGAAACATGTGCCAAGTGATCAGATTGTCTTCAAACCACTTTTTATAAAATGTTTCTTGTATTTTATATTCAAAAGGAGGTAAATGCTGTATCACTCTATAAATATAATGTAATAAAGTATATCTGTCGTGATAAATTGCGTGGAATCAATTTACAGGTAATAACATTCTATCAATACGTTCATCTAGCAAATGTTCTTTGCCTTCTTGTGATAGTCTATGGACATCTTGTTGAAAAGTCATCCTGAATTTAGAGGGACACTATAGTCACCTGAACAACTTTAGCTTAATGAAGCAGTTTTGGTGTATAGAACATGCCCCTGCAGCCTCACTGCTCAATCCTCTGACATTTAGGAGTTAAATCCCTTTGTTTATGAACCCTAGTCACACCTCCCTGCATGTGACTTGCACAGCCTTCCATAAACACTTCCTGTAAAGAGAGCCCTATTTAGGCTTTCTTTATTGCAGTTCTGTTTAATTAAGATTTTCTTATCCCCTGCTATGTTAATAGCTTGCTAGACCCTGCAAGAGCCTCCTGTATGTGATTAAAGTTCAATTTAGAGATTGAGATACAATTATTTAAGGTAAATTACATCTGTTTGAAAGTGAAACCAGTTTTTTTTTTTTTTTCATGCAGGCTCTGTCAATCATAGCCAGGGGAGGTGTAGCTAGGGCTGCATAAACAGAAACAAAGTGATTTAATTCCTAAATGACAGTGAATTGTAGATTATGCTAACGTAGTGTACCTATAATCTTAATTTTAATAATGACAGGAGGCGAATATTTTGCATAACTTTCTTTACTTTATGCCTCCAGCAGCACAAGTCAATCAATAAACTTTAAACCAATCAGTAACAGGCATCACATCCATATATAAAGCCCTGACAGACACATGACTTCCTCTTTCTTTGATGCGAAAAACAGTCTATTATAACGTCAGGGAATTCAAATAACAGTCCTGATTAACGTGTAGCACATAACTTGAAACGAAACTTGAAACCTTCCAGCTTTATCTTGTCGAATCCATCTATGATGATTACGCTGAAAAGAACAGAAATACGTGAAAGGTGATGGAAACCAACTGTTGTCCACATTAAATCCAGTACTATATGTGTCTATATTTATATTAAGTTAATATACTGAAACATTAAACAAACCATAGTATACTTAATAATCAACACGGATCTAACACATGTCAACCAAATAAGCATCCCATAAATACTGAATTACCAAAACCTTATAATTTACACTGAGAAAATGACAAACCAGAATATAAAAATTTTCCAGAGCATAGGGAGGGAAACAGGGTGGGAAAATATTCGCCTCCTGTCATTATTAAAATTAAGATTATAGGTACACTACGTTAGCATAATCTACAATTTTATCACATGACAGGAGGCTTCATATTTTGCATTTTTAAAGCTGTGGTATGAGCGAGAAGGATGCGTGTGTGGTTGACGAAAATAAATATACGGAAGTAGTCTATCCGTGTCCAATTCGTCGCTGAAAATATAGAGGCCCCCTCGTGAAGGCCTGAGAAGCAGCCGCGCCTCTTACCGAATGAGTACCCAAACACGTCTCCACCCTCGCTAGCGATAACAACCAATGAACCCATCTAGACAGAGTGTTCATGGTAACTGGCTGGTACGGTTGGTATAAGACCAGCAGATGTCCTGAATGTGACATTCTAAGTGTTGTCGTGATCTCCATGTAACAAAGTACCGCTTTAACTGCACAAAGACTGGGAAACCGTCGGTAACAGGGAACGATACGGACGCGGATAAGATATAGTTCTACGAGACACTGTAGAAATCATTCTTTCCGGTGATACCGAAGAGACCGTCTACGTCGAACTCTAGTACATCTGATACCCGACGAAAAGACCTAAAAGTAACGTGACTCTGGCTAACGGCTGACGGAGGGATAGGACCGTGATATCTGACTAGCTCCAAAAGAACCAAATCAAAGTCCCACACCAGTGATACTTTGACGCATGGTTCTGGACGGTTTGATACCCCGCAGAAAATGGCATATCAAAGGCTCTTGATTGACCGGAGTGTCGTGAATCATGCTATGCGTCGTCGAAATCGCGGAACGTAGCCCGTTAATGGAATGTTCCGATCGGCCTGTAGTGAAAAGGTATGATAAAGATCCAGCATCGTGGAGATAGGGGTAATAAAGGGATCGCAGTCCCTTCCCATACACCAGCGAACTCCAGGTGTTCCATGCAGATAAGTTATTTCGGGGAATACCTGGTGTCCATGAGTCCCATAGTAGGCCTCTAGTTGGTTGCGATAGTCCCTTGACATACCAGTCTCCCCTGGAAGACACCAATCTACCAACTCCAGATGCTCCTGCATTATCAATGGATGATGTTCTCCTTTTGGATCCGCCCGAAGGCAAGTTAAAACGGAAGGAGCAGAGGATGATCCTGATTAAGGACAACCCTTCTGGGTGTCACGCTTGACTCCTTTACCGCAGTAATGAGTACTATCGAAGTCTTCGCTATTCTGATCCCAATTTCATAGGTGTGTCCGTATCTCAGGCAGTGAGCTTTCAGCCACTGTCTGGCCCGGTAGTGAAGCAGTCCTGGGAAATAGTCAAAGGGTTATGGTGCCTTTCCGCCGTACCCATCGAATTTCCTTACGAATCGTCGCTATCAATGATGTGGGAAGGTGTAATCCGCCCAAGGGGGAATCTATTCTAAAGTAGAGGAACTGAATCACTCGGAGCTGGGATCGAACCGACTCCTCTCTGTTCACTATGAATCCCAACAATTCCTGAAACTGTAAACATAAATCTTGTTTGTAAACGTAGTCATGAATTGGATTTGCAAAAGGTAAGTCGTCTAGGTATGTGACAGCAGATACCCTTTGCTTTTCAGTGCGCCGTGACCGACTTCAGAAACTTTATGAGGCACCATGTGAACCTATAGGTAAGTGCCCTTCAAGTCCAACCTTGTAGATCCCCTAAGAGATGGATACCTTCCTTCTTGAGTTGTCGGTACGCCCCAAAACCATTGGGTTGGCATAGGTTGATGACTGGGTCATAGTCTCCTATCTTCTTCCTTACTACCAAATCGTTGCTGAGATAAATGGTTCTCCAAACGATAGTCCGTCCGCCTGAGGTCCTCGCTCTTTCGTCCCTAACTTGAATAGTTTGAAATCCATCTTTAATCGGGCTGCTTTGCGCCGTTCTGTGCACCTGTCTGCCTTGTGTTCCCCAACCTACATATTGCCCTTTGCACCCATTCCCTCACATCATGAGCTTCTAGCGGTGAGTCTTGTGTCGGGTCAGGTCCGCAAAGTATAGAATTTTTTCCTGGGCTGATCATATCCAGTATTTCATCTTAACTTGTTTTGAGTCCTCCTCCTACACCTTTACATGGACCCCGGCCTGATCGGGACATACATATCACCACGAGCTCCATAGTGAGGACTATCTTGTTCGGACATAGAGGGCGTGGGCATTCCATCCTGAGCCTGTCTCGGATTTCTTTTCCCATAGGCCTCCTAAGCCAGAAGTGGGCCCGGTGCTCCGGTTAACCCCATTCAGATGACCCTGGTTGTCGGATGGTGCGTGAGTCAAAACAGGAGTGTCCAGTGTGCCAAAGAAAAAAACCTTTCTTGCTAGGCGGGTCTTGTCACTTTTACCTCTTCTGCCCTCCATTCTTTCATGATCTCCAGAGAAGGGGGGGAGGATGAAGTCCTCGTCCCCTGATGATGGGTGTCCGACCTAACGTCGGTATCTCAATCTTCCATTGGTGTTGCTGCCGTTGCACCCGCTCTGTTGGATGGGTTGTTAGCCAGCATACTGGAGAGGACTTCTTCCCCCGGAGCTGTCATGGCGGCCTTAATCCTCGCCTGAAAATCGGTCGGGGATATTGAGGTAAGTCCGACATGTTGGTTCACATCCTTTCGGTCCGTGGGAGACAGGATCATACAACAGTACACTTATTGCCACTCAGTGGGCCTCCGCGTATAACTGGGGGTCACCCAGAATTTTGATCAATCAGTATCATTTTCGCAGGATCCGGGGAGTGGTCTGAGAATGAGGACACCCTCAGTAAGACCGGGATGAGCGGTCTGCAATGTCGGGACGTAGCCCGAGTCTGGGAGACGTGAAAGCCTCAATATATATAGTCCACGGGTTCATCCTTATATGGTCTAGAATTGTGGAGTTTTGGCAGCACTGTGAGTTCTCCTTCTCGGTTAAGGGAAGGGCGTACGGAACCCCAGTTGAAGCATAGAGGTGCCAGAATACATGCATCTAGTGCGCCCTGGTCTGTGCATACAATGACAGAGCGTACTCTGAAGGTAGAAGCCCTAGAAAGGGTGCGGGGGGTCACCCCGTCCGGTAAGGGGTCACGCCTTTGTACCTATGCCACTAGCACCGGAGTAAGACTCGCTTGGGGTTCACCCAGCATAGGAGGGTCACCCCTGTATGAATGTCTCTTATTGCATGTTGGGACACTCTTTCGGTCTATGGGGTACCGAACAGGTGTCAGGTACGGTAGTACACTTATTGCCACTTAGTGGGCCTCCACGTACGACTGGGGGTCACCCAGAATTGTTTCAATCAGTACCACTTAGAGATTTCCTGGGAGTGGTCTGAGGAGGGGGTCACCCTCAATAAGACCGGGGTGAGCGGTCAGTAATGTCGGGACGTAGCCCGTGTATGGGGAGGTATGGTAGCCTCCAAATTATCCAAGGGGTCACCCTTATAGGATATAGTACTGTGGAGAATTGGCAGCACCGTGAGCTCTCCTTCCTGGCTCTGTCGATATACATGTATTCAGTGTGACCCGGTCTGTGCATACAGTAACAGATCGTACTCCGTGGATATGAGCCCGCCCTAGGGCGTGGGGGTTCCCCCCAGTATATGTAAGTCACTAGTACCGGAATAATATTCGCTTGGGGTTCACCCAGCGTAGGGGGATCACCCCAGTATATGTATGTCACTAGGACAGGAACCAGATTCGCTTGGGGGTCACCCAGCGTAAGGGGGGGTCACCCCTGTACCACAATGTCACTTTGAAGAGGTGTCTGCCACGCTTGGGGGTCACCCAGCGTAAGGGGGGTCACCCCTGTTAATCACTCCGTTATGTGCCTCCACTACTGTGTCCTGGGAGGTGTATCCCTGTGGGGAAGGAGTGTATCCAATGGTTGTGAGGTCCAATGGGAGTAGAGAGCGGAGTAAGATATCAGCTCTATTTAATTTCCCTGCCAGTAGATAGAGTAATGCATCCACTATATGCCCACAGCAGGGGACAGTCCATTCATAATCCTCCAGATGTACAATAAAACTGTTATTCAACATGTCAATTGTATAGAACAGAATAGAGCAAACTGTCAGCAGATGCACACAGCAGGGATCAATCCTACATATTCATGCAGAGTTACATATAAAACTTTTATTTCACATGCCAATGAAATATGCCAGTATAGAGCTCAGCAGTGAACAGTCCATTCATAATCTTCCAGGAAAGGTACATATAAAACCTTTATTCCACATGCCCATGAACAGTATTGAGCTCAAAAGTACTTGTAAAACTTTTATTTCACAGGAAAAATATATGAAACAGTACAGAACTAGCCGCCAGTTCGTGGGAATCACGAACTGGCCAAACGACATGGCCGACGTGAATCTCGCGAGTGCCGCGAGATTCAAGATGGCCGCCGTTCGCGCGCAAAAGTGCTGTGCGGCCCACGATCGAGGATACGATCGCGGTCTGCCGGCATGGAAAAGAGTCCCCCCGACATCCCCAACCCCCAGAGACCTGCCCTGAAGTCCCAGCACCAATGAATAAAAAGCATGCTCGCGGAAAACGCCGCGATCCGTGCGATACCAGAGTAAAGCATAGGGAAAGAAAAGGTGCCAGCAACAGAAAACAGGCTAATAAAGCAGAAAATACAGGGTTAATTCAGGGGAAGGGTAACAGGGGGAGAATATCACACTATACAAATCCAAATGGAAGGCAAGTGCAAAATAATGAAAAACGTTTAGGCCAAAATTGCAGGACAAGCTAATAAAGTTTAACAAAAGTGGCCATGCATATCCAGAAACAGTTTGGAGCAAAAACTGAATGTCTAGCATTAAAAATCTAACTAAAGTGACCATAGCAATATTAATAAAAACAGTTGGAGCAAACTGAAAGTCAATTAATAAAGTTTAATTAAAGTGGTATCCAGAAAAAACAGTTAGGATTAAAACTGAATGTCTAGCATAAGGTGTCTAACTACAGTGACCATAGCAATATTAATAAAAACAGTTTGGAACAAACTGAAAGTTAAGCATATAAATGATTAACAATGACAATTGCAATTCAGTAAAACAGTTTGGAGCCTATGGATGTGATGACTGATTGGTTTAAAGTTTATGATTGACTTGTGCTGCTGGAGGCATAAAGTAAAGAAAGTTATGCAGCGTGTGACTCGAGAATGATCTATACACTAAAACGCGCTATAGTGTTCCTTTAACCTTGTCATTCAAACTGTCTATTGCTGGTGAGGTAGCTCAGTCGGTAAATTCCCTTACTACAAAGCCTGTTCAAAAATGCAAGGTTTTAATCCCGTCAGGGTCAACTCAGCCCTTCATCCTTGAGGTCGATAAAATGAGTACCATCAATTGGGTAATAATAACATCTATTACTATTCAGCTGCCGATTTGGTTAATTCTGAAATAAGCGCTTTGAGTCCCACTGGGGCGCTATATAAATACTAGTTGTTGTTTTTGTTGTTGTTGTTATTATAAATACTAGTTATTATTACTAGGACTGGAAAAAAAGCTGTCTCTTCAGCCTTTCTGTGTTGGCAGTCATTAAAATATAAACAAGAGGGCAGAGCCTAGTGAAAGACGTGTCTCGTATGAGCTCTTGCTGTATGAGCGATATACCTGGAGATTTCTGGATGAAGTGCCGGACAACTTTATACATGGAGCCCTACAAGCTGGGGAATCCTGCACGCAACTTTTGACACCAGAACCAACGCTTTTCACACCAGAACTTTAGGCAGCAGGTTGCAACCCTCCAGATACAGTGTGGGTGAAAGGCGGCCACTTTCCTCCCGCTGGACACATCCAAGTGCGACTCACCCCCCCCCGTGGACCCGGGGATAATGGACAGCAAATGGGCTCTGCACGATGGCAGCACTTTGCAATGACACTCTTTCTACGTTGCTAGACCGCGCAAGTGGGCACAAAAGGCCTGGGAAAAAGTTGTCTTACCTCTTTACCGGCTCAAATGGGTTTCCAGCATGAAACCAATGTCTGCTCCCTAAAAACTGAGCCCGCAACATAGTTATGACTGAAGCAATAAAAACAGTTGGAGCTTAATAACTGAAAGTGCGCAATTACATTTAAACAAAAGGAGGTTGATGGCCATTTGAATATATAAAGTCAAGGGTAGGAGTTCCTACACTAGCCATTAGATATGCTGATAAAACATATCTCTAGGATTCTACACAATAATGTATATGAGGTTACTCAATGCAATTCCCTCTCTATCTCGCTCTCTTTGTGTTGCAGTTCATTGCTTATGGTTGTCAAATCTTCTTTAACTACAGTCCTCTTGGCATTACCGCTTCCCATAGCAATATTAATGAGAAGTGGGGGGAGGGAACGTTCTGAGGATAGTAGGTAGGCCTTTCATAGGAATTTACACCCAGGTCAAAAGGAAAGATTGGTCAGGAGAAAACCAGTAATTAAGATAACCATATAAAAAAAGAGTAGGGTGTTTATTATTATTATTATTTTTTTTTATTGCTGACTTTGACGTTAACATTGATGGCGGATTCAAAAGCATATCCCCCAAATCATTTCCATGATTTACTGAGGTTTTGATGCACTACCATTTATTCTTATTACAAACACTGTGTCTCTCCGACAGAGTTGGAACTTGTACAAAATGCTTTCTTGACACTGACCCAAAGTGACCAGAGTGCGTGGTTTTATAATCGCTGGCTTCTTGGAAGAGGCTAAGGAATAAGGAAACCATCATCTGTATATAGTATTATCATTTGTTTTGTCTCTCCCCCACCCAGCCATTATTTAATATATTTCCTTCCTGTTTGCTAGCGGACCACCCTCTTTCAATTCGAAGTATCTTAGTCAGTGTTGAAGAACCCTCGGTTTGCGTTTCATTTTCTCAGCCAGTCAAAGTGAGTGTATTATTCGATCAACAGTTACCATGTTGCCATTACACAATTTCCTATGTTAAAAAAAAATCATAGTATGAATTCTTAATCTTTTTTTTTTTTTCTCGTTGTATATTTGTAATTTCAAACAAAGGTTCAAAACCAGTAACGATGTAAGGATGCTTAGATTTCAGAGTAAGAATAAAATAAAAGATAATGCACACTTAACAAATACCCTAGCTGAGAGACTACAGTTAAAGGACCACTATAGTGCCAGGAAAACATACTCGTTTTCCTGGCACTATAGTGCCCTGAGGGTGCCCCCACCCTCAGGGTCCCCCTCCCGCCCGGCTCTGGAAGGGGGAAAGGGGTTAAAACTTACCTTTTTCCAGCGCTGGGCGGAGAGCTCTCCTCCTCCGATCCTCCTCCGTTCCTCCTCCTGGGCTGAATGCGCACGCGCGGCAAGAGCTACGCGCGCATTCAGCCCGTGGCATAGGAAAGCATTTACAATGCTTTCCTATGGACGCTTGCGTGCTCTCACTGTGAAAATCACAGTGAGAAGCACGCAAGCGCCTCTAGTGGCTGTCAATGAGACAGCCACTAGAGGAAGTAGGGGGAAGGCTTAACCCATTCATAAACATAGCAGTTTCTCTGAAACTGCTATGTTTATAAAAAAAATGGGTTAACCCTAGAAGGACCTGGCACCCAGACCACTTCATTAAGCTGATGTGGTCTGGGTGCCTAGAGTGGTCCTTTAAGTTGTTTTGGGGAAAAGGATAACTTTAGTACTGGCAGTATCACGGTTTATTTATCATTTTAGACTAACTCCACAGTTCATTTCTGTTGTGACAATGTTTCAGAAAACCACTGGTGTACTTGTGACTCTGGCTCTAGTTTATGGGCAGTTTGCGAAGTTTATAAAAAAATTGTCACTTTTCAACATACTAATAACTCAATATTACTACTGGTAAAAAAGTCTATAGTTTGGGCTTTTTCATATATTGCATAATGCAGTTATAACGACACCTGTACAGATCCACCTGGCAACTGCTAACACTTATTATGGAATCATTGCGGTGAGCTCAGCCTATTATGATAAAATGAAAGGCATGTTTTATCTTTTCTTTTGAAAACAGTATTTTGTTTGTGATAACCTATGTTGGTGCAATCATACAGTGTTCTTAAAACCTTCAGCACAGAAGAAAAATCATATGTACTTACCATAATTTGATTTTCCTGATCATAGGCCATGGCAACACAACACTGAGTGGCTTCTCCCTTTCCCCAATTAGACCTAAATAAAATAATATATATATATATATATATATATATATATAATAACCCTCCAACCACCTACCCAAAGTCTTTGTATTAAACAATGTCCTAAGGGCAGAATCTTTGCTGCCATGACCTACGACCAGGAAAAGAGTATTATTTGGTAAGTAGAAATATATTTTCCTGGCCATTTCCATGGTGTCACAGTATATGAATCCAGCCTTAGACAGACAGGAATGTATTACTGATCCTTAGAGGTGGCCAGGTTAACATAATACACACTCGATATTATACAGTAAGAGAAATCACTATAAACAAGCAAAAGTCAAGGGTAGCCAGAGATCTGGTAAACAAGGAAAAAGAGTCGGATTAAGGAAGCCAGCAATATTGGGACCAAATAAGAACTACAACAAGGCAAAGAGAATGGGGTGGACTAGAGTTTATGTAGCTAATTAAGTTCCACGTCATTCTTGAGCGCCCAAAAAGCTGTCCCAGAAATGAAGCAGGATGCTCTGTGTCATTATAGTGACACAAAGTTTGGACTCTATAAAATGACGCAGGTATTGAGCATCCAGTAGATTGACACAACATCAGTATGGATGCGAGAAGGACGGACAACATCAGTATTGACGCGAAAAAGATGAATGATCAACGCAGAGCAGGGAGATCAGAGCTCCCTCGCCGCCTCTGATTCAAACACAGCCGCATGCCGGTGGGGGTCCATAATGTGGCCTGGTAGAAGGGACCGCTTCCCTACTGGACACTTGAATTTAGCACGCCCCCCCCCCCATAGCAGGTGCACCCTAAGGCGGCTGCATGTGTCGCCTTATGGACGTGCTGGCCCTGCATGTAGATAAAACGTGGCAGCACAACAATTGGTAATAACCAAGGGAGGGAGAACAATAAATACAGACACCAATGTTTTAGAATGTGTCATTTGTATTAAACCAATTGAAAGCGAAAAAAACAATCACATATTTGATACTGAAAGAACACAAATTGAGCAGCTCCGACAAGCAAATGGTATTGCCTAATAAATGTGTTAAAGGAAGATCAAATCATGCCAGGATAAACTTTAGCTGCAGCTGCCAAACATGCTGAATAGGCCTTAAGTCAATTTGGTCTAGGAAGGCCTGACAGATGAGAACAAAGCGGAGATGTTTGGCCATAATGCACAGTATCAGGTTTGATTAAAAACCAAATGAGGAATATCCACACAAACACCTCATACTAACTGTTGAGCACTGCGGTGGTGGGCTTGTTTTGAACCAATGAGACCTGGTAACCTTGCAGTCATTGAGTAGACCATGAACTCCTCTGTATACAAAAGTATTCTAGAGTCTAGTGTGAGGGCATTTGTCTGACAGCTAAAACTTGGCCGAAATTGGGTCATGCAACATGAATGTGATCCCAAGCACACCAGCAAATCTAGAACAGAATGACTGAAAAATAAAATAATTAAGGTGTTGCAATGGTCCAGTCAAAGCCCAGATCTCAACCTGATTTAAATGCTGTGGCGGGACCTTAAGAGAGCTGTACATAAAAAAAAAATGCCAGTGAAGCAAGAAGTGAATGAACTGAAGCATTGTAAAGAAGAGTGGGACAAAATTCCTCCACATTGATGGGAGAGACTGAAAGTCACAGAAAACGATTACTGAAAGTTTTTGCTGCGAATGGTGGTCCTACAAGCTATTGAATCATAGGGTATACTTAGTTTTTCACACATAGTTTCTCTATTTTGGCTTCATTTTTGTTAAATAAATAATGACACGGGTAAAATGTCATGTGGTGTTGTTCATCCGAGGTTGTAATTAATATTCATATCTGCTAAGGAACAGATGATTATTATGTCCTGATATGTAAAACCGTAGAATTCAAAGAGGTAGTACTTTCTTTTTCCCATGGCTGTCTGTTGCTCTGGAGCACTGCTGCTTCCAGCTAATTATCAAACATACACACAAGTCAAAGGCTTCCCGGAGGATTCCAGCAAAAAGAACGAAATTATCCCGGATAAAAATAAAAAAATTCTTACACTTTACTAATTCTTCACAAAACATAAAAGTGCATATGCCTGAAACATAGTAACCTGGCTTAACAGCTCTCCTTGCATGTAAAAAATTGGAACGGGAGGTATCAAGAAACACGCCTACTTAAGGTATAATCTAGTAACTGTAACAGATTGCTAGTCAATTAGTCCCTAAAAGTAAAAAAAACCTAAAAACTAAAAACCGTATACAAATATCCAAAAGAAAAAACAGGGGCAAACCACAACTTGACTCATACAACACAATGTAGTATAAATCCAAACCAGCGACTATACCATAAGCACCTCAAGAACCAATTTTTGAATGCCCGGAAATGTTAAAAAAAATAAATTAAAAAATGTATCACTTTTATTACAAAGAGAAAAATGTCCACAGGAGTTTTTTTTTTTTTTTTAACTCGTTCAGAGTGACTATCGAGGAATTAAATTCAGATAAGTGTACATTTCTCACCATCACATCTTCAGCAAATATCCTAATTGGCTTTATAAGATGAGCTTTCAATGACATGAGTGTAGACTTCTATCACCACCTGGTATGATTTCCAGGAACTGGAGATGTCATAGGAAGTGTAAGGATCTACTTAAAAAGAGGGTGTTTTTAAATATGGCCGCTAATATTACTCTGTTACATTGACAGGTCTGAGATGATTTTATATGCACTTCTGCTTGCATTTTGACAAAACCATATACACCAATAACCTGACTGCATAAATGAGTCTCAATGGTCAGAGCTGATAGACCACTGCATCTAAGGCCTACCATAGATTGACTAAATATTTAGATAAATGTAGTATTAGTTAAAGATAAAACTTAACTTGTATTAGACTCATTGATTAACAATATAAGCAATAGAAATTTAAAAGGACAATATAGGCAACCAGACCACTTCAGCTCATTGAACTGGTCTGGGTGTAATGCCCCTTTCCTACCTAGTGCTGCAGTGGAGATTACTGCAGTTTTAGAGAAACTGCAATAATTATATTGCAGGATTAAGATTGCTTCTTGTGGCATCAGATAGATACTAGAGGCATTTCTGCTCTTCCTGCACACTGTACAGTACTGCCCCAGGAAGCATCTCCAGTGGCCGAGTGGTCGTCTGAAGAGTGAACACAGGAGGTGTCCCTAGGGGACAATGTAAACACTGTCTTTTCTACATGCAAATCCCTACAGGGAATGATTATACTCACCAGAACAACTACATTAAGCTGTAGTTGTTCTGGTGACAATAGTGTCCCTTTAAGTAAGGGGGTCAAAGTCCAAATCTACTTTCCCAAAAAATAACATGTAAAATAGTAAGCAATCAAAGTGCTAATGTTTCAAAAACCAAAAAAAACTAATGAGGTGGATATCCTTATTTGAAACAAAAAAAAAAAAAATGGTAAGATGCAATAAAATAGTTTGACCACCAGAGGTCTTCTCAGTCCTGAAAAGTTAGTGCTGAAAATCACTGGTGTTGGTGCTTCATTGTTATAATGAGCTGCAGAAATGCTGCAAGGCCATAATAATTAAATATTAGCACCAAAAAAACACAAATATTATACTGCCACCAGAGGGAGCTCCATGTTGATATATGCACTCCAGATGTTTTGTTTTTTTATCAATGAGTCTAGTAAAAGCTAAATTTTATCTTTAACTACTACCACATTTATCCATATACACCAATAATGTGTACTGTGGTAAATACACGGTAAAGCATGAAATGTACGTGTGGGACCGGTCCTCTTTAGGCCTGAATTCACAACAAAGAACAAAGAATATACACCACAAACAGATTACACTTGAAGCTTCAGCATTTTTCTTTCTTTCATGTTCTACAGCATATTCATTTATTGTGTAATTGAATATTTAATTTTTTTTTCTAATGCTTTACACCAAAATAAAAACAGGTGAAAAAACACTTTTGTATTTCAAAGGACACTATAGTCACCAGAACAACTACAGCTTATTGGATTTGTTCTGGTGAGTAGAATCATTACTTTAGGCCTTTTGCTGTAAACACTGTCTTTTCAGAGAAAATACAGTGTTTACATTACAGCCTAGTGATAACTTCACTGCCCACGCCTCATATGACTGTTAGAAATCCTTCCTGGGTCATGGCTGCCTAAAATGCATCCAAACATTCAGTATCTCCTCCCTCTGCATGCAGACACTGAACTTTCCTCATAGAGATTAATTGATTCAATTCATCTCTATGAGGAGATACTGATTGGCCAGGGCTGTGTTTGAATTGTGCTGGCTCTGCCCCTGATCTGCCTCTTTGTCAGTCTCAGCCAATCCTATGGGGAAGCATTGTGATTGGATCAGACTACCACTTCTGATGATGTCAGCAGACTGCTTGTTTTTCTGAGGCAAACAACATGCAGAATTACAGCTTCAGGCTTGAATACAGTAAGATTTTGCTATATTTATGGAGGCATGAGGGGCCCAGGGGGCTAGATGGTGTTTTTAACACTATTGGGTCAGGAATACATGTTTGTGTTCCTGACCCTATAGTGATCTTTTAATACAGATAAAGTCTGCTTACAGGTTAGTGGCAGTATAATACAGGGAGTGCAGAATTATTAGGCAAGTTGTATTTTTGAGGATTAATTTTATTATTGAACAACCATGTTCTCAATGAACCCAAAAAACTCATTAATATCAAAGCTGAATATTTTTGGAAGTAGTTTTTAGTTTGTTTTTAGTTATAGCTATGTTAGGGGGATATCTGTGTGTGCAGGTGACTATTACTGTGCATAATTATTAGGCAACTTAACAAAAAACAAATATATACCCATTTCAATTATTTATTATTACCAGTGAAACCAATATAACATCTCAACATTCACAAATATACATTTCTGACATTCAAAAACAAAACAAAAACAAATCAGTGACCAATATAGCCACCTTTCTTTGCAAGGACACTCAAAAGCCTGCCATCCATGGATTCTGTCAGTGTTTTGATCTGTTCACCATCAACATTGCGTGCAGCAGCAACCACAGCCTCCCAGACACTGTTCAGAGAGGTGTACTGTTTTCCCTCCTTGTAAATCTCACATTTGATGATGGACCACAGGTTCTCAATGGGGTTCAGATCAGGTGAACAAGGAGGCCATGTCATTAGATTTTCTTCTTTTATACCCTTTCTTGCCAGCCACGCTGTGGAGTACTTGGACGCGTGTGATGGAGCATTGTCCTGCATGAAAATCATGTTTTTCTTGAAGGATGCAGACTTCTTCCTGTACCACTGCTTGAAGAAGGTGTCTTCCAGGAACTGGCAGTAGGACTGGGAGTTGAGCTTGACTCCATCCTCAACCCGAAAAGGCCCCACAAGCTCATCTTTGATGATACCAGCCCAAACCAGTACTCCACCTCCACCTTGCTGGCGTCTGAGTCGGACTGGAGCTCTCTGCCCTTTACCAATCCAGCCACGGGCCCATCCATCTGGCCCATCAAGACTCACTCTCATTTCATCAGTCCATAAAACCCTTAGAAAAATCAGTCTTGAGATATTTCTTGGCCCAGTCTTGACGTTTCAGCTTGTGTGTCTTGTTCAGTGGTGGTCGTCTTTCAGCCTTTCTTACCTTGGCCATGTCTCTGAGTATTGCACACCTTGTGCTTTTGGGCACTCCAGTGATGTTGCAGCTCTGAAATATGGCCAAACTGGTGGCAAGTGGCATCGTGGCAGCTGCACGCTTGACTTTTCTCAGTTCATGGGCAGTTATTTTGCGCCTTGGTTTTTCCACACGCTTCTTGCGACCCTGTTGACTATTTTGAATGAAACGCTTGATTGTTCGATGATCACGCTTCAGAAGCTTTGCAATTTTAAGAGTGCTGCATCCCTCTGCAAGATATCTCACTATTTTTGACTTTTCTGAGCCTGTCAAGTCCTTCTTTTGACCCATTTTGCCAAAGGAAAGGAAGTTGCCTAATAATTATGCACACCTGATATAGGGTGTTGATGTCATTAGACCACACCCCTTCTCATTACAGAGATGCACATCACCTAATATGCTTAATTGGTAGTAGGCTTTCGAGCCTATACAGCTTGGAGTAAGACAACATGCATAAAGAGGATGATGTGGTCAAAATACTAATTTGCCTAATAATTCTGCACTCCCTGTATGTATTAAACCCTAACATCCTGGTTGCGGCGGCCTTGCTCTAAATAAATAAGAACGTTCAGCAGCACAACAGGAGGGTGTAGGGAGATGCAAATGTACAGTCGACAGCTGTCTATTACCGCTCTTAATATTGCAAAATAAACGTCACATGGCGGCCCAGTGACAGTCGCCATGGCCTCTGTTACCCGTCTGCTTATTCGGGGTTTGAGGGTACTGTAGTGGGGCCATTGTTCATGCTACTTAATTGTTTTTTTATGTTTTACACTTTAATTCATCATGGTCTTCTATTGGACCTGCGAGTCTGAACTTATTTCAAGAAATAATTTAATAACCCTGTGTGGCTAAAAATCTGTAATCTGTTTAATAATAGGGACCTGCGTGTACCATTGCATTGCTTGCTACATGTGCGCCTAGATTGCAATAAAACATTAATTTACCAAAAAAAATGAATATCTAACATCCCTTTCTGTATCCTGTTTTGTTCTTTTAGGTTCAAGATGATTTGATATTATTCCTTGATGGCAGACCTCTAATGGTTTCTTGGAAAACCCCAGAAGGAAAAGAAAAGCCAAGCTTACTCTGGGTACCACTGCTTTCTCTTTCAGTCATTTCATTCCCAGCTTTGTCTGTTTGTGGCATAACTGGTGCATTACTTGCTGTATCCCCACAGTGTAGCCATTCCATTGGTGATTGTATCCCTCTAGGTAGCCACCTGTTTCACAACTCTACTCTTTTTAACTGGCTTTACAGTGTATGGATTGTTTTATGTATGTATTCTTGTAACCTATTGCATGTATGTCTGTTTCAGGTATGTAACCTACCCAAGGAGAGGACTAAGGGCCTTTCTGCTCAGTGTAAATTCCACGTTGTTTTCAATGATGGAGAAGCTGAAAAAGAATGTGTTCTATACCCAGGTAATAGGGACAGTTCCGAATTCAAAGTGTGAAGATCTGTAATAAAGTTGTATCAGGAGGCTCTAATTTTAAAAATGTTTTTGTTTTTAACTCTTAATTTCCATAGGGCAAAAACAGACTTGGTTTTGTAATTCTGCTACAGAGGAACACATATTCAGGTATAAATCATTTTGTAAGTTGGCGGTCTTAGTCAGAATTCCTCAATTCTCATAACACTTTGTAAGCTTTTAGTTGGTGAACGATTGTATTCCATGATCTAACAGACCTTCAGTTAGGTTTATATGAGATTTGATCCTCTAGTAATAAATACTTGCTTGTTCCTGCACATCTTTTGTTTGCTTTGTTATCATATTCTCCTATTGGGCATTTACTAACCTCCGTGCAGTGCGATAAACACTTATCAGAGTTGAAATATCATTGTGTAGAATATTGGTATGGCTGTCTTCATATCCTTTTTAATCATTTTTTGCTGCTAGTCTTTTTCTCAATATCACATTCAGAAATAGCTTTTTCAGTTTTTATAAATATCCAGTAACCCTGTCTGTAATCTGTCCCCAGATTTGACCTCTCTGAGGGAAAAAGCAATATCTTACAACATGAATTAAAGTCTTGCAAGGAGCTTCAAGAGTTGGAACCCGAAAATAAATGTAAGTGGTGTATGTGCAGGATACATGATAATGTTTTTTTTGGAAGAGTATTCAATTGTTTTCCCTTTATCACCCTACAGTCCATATTCCTCCACTACATACATATTACAGCCCTTATACACACACAAACACACGTCAGCCCCTAAGAAAGAACACTCACTATCCACTCATTACAGCTGCTATGCATATATGTACACACACTACAGCCCTAGTGTACATACAGCCCCTATATATTTGCACTATACAATCCCTATACCAATCTACTACAGCCCCTAGACCACACTGCATTCCATAGACAAATATATACACTACAAGTCCTAAACATACACAGACTTCACATCCTGTAGACACACATGCACACTACAGCCCTTGAAAACACACAGGACACTACAAACAGACTCCTTTACACACATTACACAAACGGTTACCTGTACACAACCACAATTCTCTGAACCAGCCCTGTCATACTTTTGTTCTCTGGTGCTCTACTCATGGGGACACCAGTCAATACAGCACAGTCGTGTCATTAATCTGTATGTGCTGCGTAAAAAACACAGGGCATTTTCAAAATGGGAGAGTTCTGCAGCAGAGTTAGGTGCATGGAATGCCTTGGTGGGGCATCAAAGTAATAAGTTCACAAAGAGGGAACGTGCATGCCATTGATGATTTCATGACGCACACCCTCTCTATCCCCTCCCACTATTATTGGGCTACTTTGCCATTAAGAGCCTAGTACAGCCCTGATAGCAGGGATAGAGTATTATCTGTAGTAAACTATGCTATGGTTTCCCTGCTTGAAGTCTCAGCGCGTTGTTTCGAACGAGGCATGCAAGTGGTTGTAGAACAGTTTGCCAAAAAGTTACCTGGCGTCAAACTAAAACAATGCTGCATATTTTGTGTCTGGATTGTCCTTTATACCATGATAATAAATGTTAGCCTTTGATGGGAATTTCTTGTACAAGTGAAATATGTGATAGAACAAGTCACATTCCACATTTTTCTTTCAAATGACTATATCATGGAACATACTTTCACCTCATAGGAAAGGTCACATTTACAGATGTTCATGTGTCTATCCTTCTGTCCAGAATTTACACAGCAGATTGTTCTATATTGTGCATGTTCTGGCCATTGACTTTGAACTAAATGTCCACCATATTCTAAATGGGTAAACATTATAAGTAGCCAGTATGATTTCTGTTGTAGTTTCATTGTTTTACCTTTGTCTTCTTCATTTAAAAAATGCAAATGCTGTAAAATGATTATTTTAACTCTTTCTTTGTGCATGTGATGTAACCCTGTGCTTTATCATACATAAGCCATTCATTTTTAAGTCTTAAGATCAGAAGATCACTGTGTGTACTTACTAGCAAGTGAAAAACTGAATTTCTTTAGCCTAAAATTAAAATGCTAAAGCGAAATATAAAATGTCTTTGTGTACAGCTTTAATATTATAAATAATCACACAGATATAAATTGTGATACAAACAAATGAAAATCAAGCAATGTGGTTTGTAATTGCAATGCCACCTTTCAACCACAAGGCGGCCGTGCTACTTCATTTTTATTTTTTGCAAAGTAAGAATTCTACATATTGCTGTCAGAGTTAATCACTAAAGGTTGAATGTCAGTCACAGTTTATGAAAACTTTTAGTGAGTACTTTTTGCAGAAAACATATCAGAACACTTAAGAACCACATTTCCTTCCTGAGTTTTGCTTTCACAGTCAGTTTAAAAAAACTAAAAGTTGAAAATGCAGAATCATCCCCAATAGTGTGTAATTCATGAGATCAGCACCTCTCCTTGTACCATTTATGAAGGACATGTGTTGGTCATCTCCGAACCATGATATGGTCCTTTCTCTCGCTATGTAAATCTGAAAACAAAAACAAGATTCCCAGTGAATCAAGAAAACTTTATTGGATTTTTCCCTTGTTCGATTGTGGCTCTAGCCAAACCATAAGAAAACCATAACAATGTTTAGTCAAAAATAAAGTATTGCAGCACAACCATTTTCCCGAGGTGGAGAGTATGTTTATTGTCTTATTACTGTGTTTTAGTGGTACCTCTATAAACATCTGCAGTACACAAAAAATGTCTTTGTTACTCAGATGTCTGAAAGCCTTGGACTCTTGCCATATAACAGCATTTTGATACAACAGATATTTGGTCAGCTGTCTACTGCTGATATTCTATTTAATTACTCTGACACACTGCAACGTAACACACACTGAATTGCACCGCAGTGAAAGACCTTCTGTAACATTTTTGCCCCAGTGGAGAGTAATGTATTCATTAACAACCCATATGTATAACAAAACATAACGGACTAAAATCAAACCCAGGTCAACTCCACACTTTATAATTCTTGTTTAACCCATGGTATTCTTTACAAACAGAGTAGGGGGAGGAAAGCCCAGAGCTGGGATGAGTGCCGTTACACTGAAGGAAAAAAAAATGATTTCCCCATCCTATGTGTCGAACAAGAGTTAATATAAGTGTACCCAACCATCAATCAACATCCCCATACACCTTCTAGCCCCGTAATGATCTGTCTGTATATGATCTGTCTGCAATCATATTACCATCTGTTAATTCATAATAATATCCAGATTTAATTCATTTTCAAGTATGTGCTGGACTGTGTGTGGTATTACCTGATTTACTGATACTTGATTTAATGCGCTCTTATGTTAACCCCTGAAGGACCAAACTTCTGGAATAAAAGGGAATCCTGAAATGTCACACATGTCATGTGTCCTTAAGGGGTTAAATATGTTTATTTCTAAAACTGAAGGTTTTCCCCCTTCTTTTTTTTAATTTCCAGGTACAGCCATGTGCATGGCTGCATTGAATGGGAGAGCTTCCATTGGCTGAAATTATTCATTTTCTTTCTTGTTGCTGTCCAAATTCTCATTTAGGGTGCCTGCTCACTATAATTCTTCTAATGAGAGCCTTGGACCCTTTGTTCTATGAGAAGGAGTGCCTGTCCTACTTTGATATTCTGAAGGTATGACATGCAGAAGCAATGCCTGTCTAGTTTGACAGAATAAGATAGGAATGTTTTCTTTGGCGTTGAGGTTTTACTGTGCATGCAGAAAAGAGTGACAGCGTGTTTTTGTTGTGTGTGCATTGCTTTACATTATAGTGCTGTTCATGTTGTGGAATGCATATCTAAAAAATTATTTAACAGTAATAGCGTTGAAGTGGTTGGGGCTCTTTTGTGCTTAGTTAGTGGGACAAGTTGAATTCCTTTTAAGATTCAGCATGCGTGGCTTTTTTTTCTGGCAAACCTTAAGCACGTATCACCCTTAAAATGTTCAATACAAAAAAGATTCAGGCACTCCTAGGTTCAGAGCAGGCAATTTTATTGGAACCCACAGCAACGCTTTGACCTTTAGCATGAAAAAGACCGTAAAGGTTGAAATGTTGCTGTGGGTTCCAATAAAATTGCCTGCTCTGAAGCTAGGAGTACCTGAACCTTTTTTGTATTTAACACTATTACCATTGGAACCTGGTGCTTGGTTCTGGTTTAGTTAAGCACCTTGGCTCAGATTGATGGGATTGAGTGCAGTTCCCTTTATATGCTGTAAAGCCTTAAAATGTTCAAATCAGGATTATTTTAAGTGTGTGAGAGATCAATGATCTCAAATTTGATAGAATTAATCAGGGGCTGGTCATACCGCTAGCATAGTGCCTATTGGTTGACGCCATATTTTCTAGGAAGACTGGGCATCTAGAGGCTCTGCTGGAATATTTTATTAGCAAGTTGACACACATACATACATACATACACACACACACACACACTGCACATTCACTCCATTACAGTAGCCCAAAACCACCTGCTCGTGGGCTGTGAAAATAAAATTAGTTTGAGGCTTCATCCTGGTTAACAGAGAATCCCGTGAGACCAGCTAGTTACTTTACCTACACCACTCCTTACATGATATGCGGGGAAATGCATTTACAATCTTGCTGTTGGTTATTAGGAGATTCTGGGAAAAGAATGCTAAATGATCTACTATCTCACGGTATTTGCATGTGGGAACCTGCTTGGAATACATAATTTTAACATAACAATACAATGAGTAAAGATATGGGTTTGACATCCCAGAGACCCAGCCTAATGCACTCTTACACACACTGTAGGTTGATTTGCTTTTATCAATTTGACATTCTCCTACATTGCCTTGAACATGGAGTGAGCAATGAAGATGGTGGCTGTCCTGATATTGTTAACTTACTATGAAAGTCAGCACTATTTTATTTATTTTTTAAACCCGTATCAATTTTTAGTTAATGTTTTCTATCCTGTCCCTATTTCTGTATATGTCTATAGCAAATTCAGTCCAACAACATATATTTCCTTATTGTGCAGGTTTTTTTGTGCATGTTCAAAGCTTTTTAAATAACTTATTGAATGTATATTTTTCAAGTATTTATACATTTGAAAAATTACTTGTGCTTATTTAAAACAATAAATATATATTTTTTTTATTTATTTTTTTGTTTGAGGTCTTTATACAATTAAAAAGTATTTTCAATATTTTACAAAGTATAGGCCAAGATTATATATTTAGTTTATCTGAAAATCTACTTCTCTTAAGCAGAGGTGTGGAAGCCCACATTCCAAACATAGAAATGAAAAAGCAAGTACAATGGAATTTATGGCATCTAACACTATGCATTAACGTTTCAATTCTATACACTACATTTTGAGTGCCATGGCAAAGGTCCCAACATGATTTAAAATGTACATGTCTTGCAGGTGATCTAGTTGACCCATTAGACTTTTAGGTCAAAACTACCAGTTAGGTTAAGGGGTCACTTTGGGAATTCGTTAAATCCTATTTATGTTCTAGCTTACTTCCTTATAAGAATATAATTTATTTGTGGATGTTTGCTGCCAGCTGAGCATTAGAAACTCTTTGCTCTCTGTAGGCTGTTGATCCAATGCGTTCTGGTTACTACGATGATTTGTGCAGCAAATTCCAGATGGAGAATGCCATATTAAAGATGGAGTATGCAGAGGCACGTGTTATAGACCTTGCAAAAAAGGTTAGTTTAATTTACCATACTGGCATTCTATGTCTGTTATCATCAGTATGTGCATGAAGTTCTAATATTCCCGTAGGGGCTGACCCGTTTATGCCATCTTGACCATCTGATGTTGGTTACCCACATGGATCTCTCAGGGAATCTCCTCAAGTCTCTTCCTGCTGATGTATCCATGATGAGATGTATCGAGGTACAGCGTTCCCTTACAGTTGATGGAAGTGGAATATACTTTGTTTGAGGGATAAGGGCGAGAGGGAAGTGGGTTGGAGAGGGAACATATCCGATTCTAGTCTTGAGTTTTGCTGATTCTGTTTTTGCTTGTTTTCCAGGTGCTTGAATGTGATAACAATGAGATTTCACATCTACCAGGAGTCTGGAATTTGCCAAAACTGGAGGAGCTATCACTGCAATATAATAGTATCCTTCAAACGAGTATTAGCCTGTCTTTCACTAGCTATGACCAGTTAAACAACATTATGAAACATTTGGCAGTTACATAGAGTGCATATTACTAGGTGGAATAATGAGGTGGTAGTGGTAACTGCGCATGGTTCTGTAGACTCTTACCGGGTGTTAAAGGAGCAGTCTAAGCACCAGATAACTGTAGTGGTTATCCCAATTTTAAGAGAAAATTCAGTTCCAAAAGGTTTTAAACTTGGTTGTATCCAGTATCCAGACGCTTTTACATTCAGCATATCAAGTTTGTCCATATTTGGATGGAATTCAACGACGAAATTGCTATAATTGATGCGGAAGTAGATATTTCCACTTTTGCAATATATGGGAAAAGAGACTGGAATGCACATACATAGGAGACCAATTGAAATGTTTCCAATTTAGCTGTATTGGCTTTAATTTGTGTTTCCTGGTCAAACCCAACAATTTCTGGTTTAGTAAATAACCCTATATATAAAGCAATCCACCAAATGAAAAAAAGAAATATACAAAGTGGAGTTTTTGTCAATAATGGTAGAAACGTTTAATTGCTGCCCATTCTTTTTTTTGGGAAAATATTGGTGCAGTTTCTGTGTTTTTTTTTTTGTTTTTTTTTTTTTCGGAAAGCGCTAGTGCTATTACCAGGGCTGAATTTCCCAAAAGGCGCTGGCAGGAGAGACACAAGCATTTTTTCCGTCAATTCCATGTCCAGGGACATCATCCACTGTACCTCCACAGAGCCTGCCTCAGACTCTGCACAACCCCACCCACTATCCTGTCCTCCCATGCACTGTCCCATACATTGTGCCTCTTCAGGCCACCTCAGACCGCCCTCCTTGTCAAATTATAACTCTTTTCACTATGTCTTTATTGATTCATCTCCATGCTGTTCTCCTATACTTTACTCCTGGTTGGCCTTGCCTTTACCTCCACCATGCCTTCCTCCATTCATTGGCCCACTTTATTATATGCTTTCCAATGTGTTCAGTCCTTCACTCACACAATCAGGCGGCACCTTTTGCTTTCCTTCAGTCTAATACCATATTCAGTGTAGATGTTGAATGTTCTGCTTTATTCAGTTTTAACTCTGCATTATGTGTTATATTGCATTCTTTGTTACAATGCAGTGGGTGTTTTCATTTTTAACTTTTCTGGAAATTTCTTTTTTTTAGCAATATTCTTTTTTTCTATGTATAGAAAGGTATATAAATTGTTTGTTACAACATTTCTGCTGGAAGTTAGAAATTCAGTTGTGAGAAAGGCAAAACCAGCATAATTCTCACAAGTTCTACTATTAAAGCCATACAGCCGTTATTCACATGCGTGCACACTCACACTACACCATTAATAGCCCCATCCATAGACCCACAACCTCAAAACAGCCTCCCTCCCACACATGCAACCTACAAGCTGCCTTCTCCAACATATACAACAAACTAGTCGCATTCACTCGTCAAATCACATACCCCAAACTTGTCCCAGTCACACATCCACCAAACTTTTTACATGTATATATGAAGGGATGTGGGTGGGAGTGCGTTGAGGAAAAATGTCTTGGGGTACCAAAATGGGAAAATCGGGCCCTGACTTTAACCTATGCAACGGTGGCTGCTTTAAAAGTCTGATTCTCCTTGCATGCATCTGTCATTGAAAGCACCACATGCTGACAGAAACCAGCAATAAAAAAATAGGAATACTAAGAATGTTATTGCACCGCATTTGCAAACTGCTTCCTGCATCTTTCCTCTGCAAACTGGGTTTTGTTATGATTATGCAGTCACTCTTCTGTCTTTGGAATGTCCCAGCGCTGACAGAGTGAGGTGGAGTGAGACTCTACCTCTGATGATTCAAGGTAATTTGCTTGGCGTATACTGTATAACAATCACGAACAATTTAAAATATTTTTTTCACTGTCAAGGCATTAGAAAGCATTTTAATTTCTGTCTACTCCCCCTATCATTGCTCTAAAAAGAGATTTTGGTTTGGGGTGAAGTAACAATGCAAAATAACAGATTATCCCAGTATCTCGTTATACCTTTTTCATTGAACTATCAGAATTTTAGAATGACTAGATTTCAGGAGATCCACTCTTAATAAAGTGTAAAGCATTGGTAAGGAGAGGATGTTAACAAAGGGAAGATCTCCCAAAATCTAGCCATTCCTAATTTCTGCTGCATGATACAGTGCAATCTGACATTCCAACTGGTCTTATGGCTGTTATCTGCCTGGTTGCCGAACACGAGTCTCTTCGGTATGATCACTCCATACTTTATGTTGGGGTTTATTTTCTAAGCAGCGAATTGAAAAAATCTCCAACTCTACAGAGAGACGTTTTTCATTCTAGGTTATTTTGCCTTAAAATTTGCAAGCCATTTGTCAGATTGCCATGACTTGTACCTTAGTGAATAAATCCATATTGCAGAGTTGTCATACTACACCACCTAGCTGCTTTTGGACTACAACTCCCATGACCCTGTCTCAAGTGGTTTAACCTTTGTTTTTTTTACAGTTTGGGTATAAAAACTAAATGTAAGGTTCACGTTGAGCTCGTTACATTTGATATATTTTGATGACCAATATGGGAGCTGCAAACAATATCTTTCCTTTTCACGTAGAGGATGTTAGGTGTGAATACAAATGAGTCATAATAAATGGATGGGGTACTGGTATGTGTTTGGTATTTGTGACCTTGTTGGATTGTGCTTTGTGAAACCATTACATTATGTACATTGTGTGCATCTACCACATATACATAAATACAGACTTCTGACAGTTCTGCGTTAACGGTCCTAGTTACACAACACTGCTGCAGAACTACAGCAGACTGGGCCCCTTATCGAACTACACTTGATTGACAGCCTGCTAATCACTTCTAGCATTGCTGGGAGGAAGTGATCAGTTCATATGCTTCCACCGTTCATCTGCAAAATGTTATCTAAAAAGGAGGCGGTCTAAATAAAATGTGTGTGTATGTGTTATACCAGTTGTGTGCATAGCAGATTAAGTCTTTAGTATGTGCAACAATGTTTGTGTGTTTAGCAGAGTCTGTGCTTAGCATTGTGTGTGTGTGTGTATTGGGGCTTGTGTGTCTGGTAGGTGTGTCTGCGTGTGTGTGTAATTTTCAGTGAGTGTCTCTCTCTGGGAGCATGTGTCAGTGACTCTCTCGGAGCATGTGTCGGGGTGTGTCTCTCACTGGGAGCATGTGTCGGGGTGTCTCTCAGAGTGTGTACTTCTATCTAGGGGGTAGAGGGCAGCCAGTGGGTTTGTATGGACCCCTATGGTTTCTGATGTTAGCCTTGAACACATATGCACACATTAAATAAGTGTTCATGTTTCTGCTGTCCTGTACTCTCTGCATTTTCTTGTTGTTTTCATTAGGAAGGTGACATTTCCATGCCCTTGTGTTTTTGGGTGTTCCCTGTTTTTCTTTAACCACATGTGCCAGAAATCCGGAATGTATCTGATCTCCAACCCCTTTCCCGCTGCCCTAGCCTCTCTGTCCTTCACTTGCAAGGTAACCCACTTTGTGAATCAGCAGATGCCCGAGCTGAGCTGGAAGCACTTCTTCCCCACGTGGACAGTATACAATTATGACCTATTTAATGTGTCTGATGTCACTTCTTCATGTCCTGTCTCAATAAACACTATGTATTGACTCTCTGACTGTAATTACAGAGGAATTGGGGTGGTGGTGGTGGTGGTGGTGGGAGGGAGGGGGTGCAGGCATTCTCCGACAATGCTACATTATAACCCCTATTGAGCTTTCAAACTACATAAATTAAGAAATGTGAAATGCCAGTGCTATGCCACACTTAATCATAGACTGATAATGCAGCTGGACTGCAAATTTAGAGACCATGTTGTGGAGGGCACCCATGATGATCACATTGTACTCAAACTCTATATTCTGTTTTAAAATTACTTTTTATGACGTGGCCACCTTGGTTTCATCTACAGTATCAGAAAAGTTGCAGTATTTATGTTAATATATATGTTGCAATCGCCCCCATTTATTTGTCATGTTTCTGCTGGTATCCATGAATCTCCACTAATTTACTCTGTATGAAGAATCATTTTTTTGGAAGTCTCTCTGGTGTTTACTGGCACGTTGACAGTTTATTCGGAGGGATGGGTTTGGGTTGCTTAATGTTTAAAGGGAGTAGTCGAGACTTCAGCTATAACCCATTATTATTTGGTAATTATGCCATCTGTGTGCTTACTTGCCTAGGAGGAAGGTGTTGTCCCCAGGTTTACGGTCACATAGTCACTCCTGCACTTGTTCCACCTGTTTGGAATAAGGAACTAAGAACACCTAGGACATGACTTTTCGATGAATCAACACTTCCACGGGTACTTTGATGCTTGTACACCAACCAACATGTACACAAAGCAATCGTAGCAATATAATACAGTTGGAAACATTTGTGTATATCATTACCCTCCCCTTAACACTGAATAGATCTGTTAAAACACTTTTTAATTGCTGCTATGTCCTGGTGTATGACATTCCAGAATATTGGGTGTTTTCAAGAATTAAATAATTATTGTTATTTTTCTCTGTTCATTGAAAATATTTGCCATTCTCATGTATGAAGAAAGAGGGATTTATATATTTCATACATGTTTCTGTCCTACTTTTGTTAATTTTAACACTGGTAGCAGAAATTGTATGCAATGCTTAAAAAAATAAATTTGTACACCTACATCTCATACAATCAATTGGATGCCAGATATATTGTAAAGCCATTTGAGTTTACCACAGGTGGCATCAGCAGACTAAACTGACATTTTTTTTTTTTTTAAACTAGCATATACTAGTTATTAGCTGGTGTTGTGTAGTACATAATCTGCCCCCAAATCCATGTCTTCAGCCCTTCACAAACTGTCAAATTGTTGCTGATTTTTAATAAGCACCTGTAATTTCAGAGTAATTCTAAACCAAGTGAAGAGTAGGTCACAACTTCTCTTAATAAGTATAATAAACTAGCTATGCTGAGTACTCTGAAGACTTTTAATACCACAGAGAAATTCATTGAACATTGTAAAATGTTGTTCTCTCCTGAGCTGCTGAAAAGGGTTTTACAATTTTAAACATTCACAATAAATGGGCACTGTATTCATCTAGATTAAGTTGTTTTGGTGCCAGGAGGCAGCAAAGTTTGCCTACTTCGATCTGCAGGTCCCCCAGGTGACATTAGTTTTCTGAATCTCACAGGAATCTCCTGGCAGCACTCTGCTCTTCCTGTAAGAGCCGGATGCCGCCTGGCGGACCTGGGGGCCTCCTGGCACCATAACATCTTCATTTAGATGAAGTTGTTATGGTGACTGGACTGTTCCTTTAATGAAGTAGTGTTGGTGTAGATCATGCCTCTGCAGTCTCATGGCACATTTCTCTGAGAATTTAGGAGTTAAATCACTTTGTTTATACAGCCCAAGTCACACCTTACTGCATGTCACTACCACAGCCTTCCTAGACACTTCCTGTACAGTGAGGTCTCAATTTCTTAAAAGTATATTATATCAAAAAAGAAACAGCTATACAAAAAGCACAAAAGAAAAAAAACATTCATACTGTGATTGTTTTGTGGTTTTTTTTTTGTGTGTGCTTTTTATATAGATATTCCTTGACAGCTTTGATGCAATACAATGTAAAATGGTTACTCCAACTGCCATGGCCAACTTCTGTTTTTTCAAGTTATCATGGTGGTAGGATCCTGGATTTTCAGTGCTTCAGCTTGAAACATTGCTCTTCCAGAGATGTTTACAATTGTGAGCTATGAGAAGCCTTTGATTGGACCTTGGCTTGGCTCCCATGACATCACAAGACCTAGGATGAACCTTGGAAAAAAAAAAAACAATACCACCATGCTTTTTCTATAGACACTATGGATTCGGTTTCTTGGTATCTGCCATATGCATCTTTTTTTCCATCAGACTGGCAGATAGTGAAGTGTGTTCCATCACTCCAGAGAAAACGTTTCCACTCCTCCAGTGGCAGTGAGCTTTATACCCTTATGCTTGGCACTGCACATGTTGATGTGAGGCATGTGTATAGTTAATAGCCATGGAATGCCATCCTGAGGATATGTTGTTTCACGCTTTGTAAAATTGTGTTTGATTTTATTATTACTGCGGTCCTTGAGGAAGTTCCTTGCGGAACGAAACGCATTGGACCTACCGCTTTCCTTTTTATCCTATGCTGATGGTGATCTAAAGATTTGATTTTTTTTATCATCATCCATTTGAAGTCCTGTGTACCATTGGCTACTTCGCATTGGAAAGGGGATCATTAGCCCCCCATACCATCGGTGGAGGCACACTGAGTGCTTATCTCTACGCTATCTCGTGAGTGCATTCTTATACAGCGTATGCTTGATTGTGCATACTGTATCACACTATTATTTTCCTTTTAAGTTCTCTTTATAGATTTATCCAGCCGCATCCCGCTTTTGTTTGTGGTTTTCTATATACTGTAAAGATTGTTCTTTGTGGATAACGATCTTGGGAGGCTGTATATTGTCTTTTAAGTTAAGTAACTTTATACTTGATATCGCACTACATTCCACTGATATTGTGGTGTTTATATTGCTGTTTTTTTGTTCTTTGCCACTGACTGGTGGCAAAGGGGGTATCCAACAACAGTACCATATTTAACAACACTGAGCTTTTCAGGTCGACCCATTGTATGGCAAATTTTTGCCTACAAATATTACATAGTTACATAGCTGAAAAGAGACTTGCATCCATCAAGTTCAGTCTTCCTCACAAATGTTTTTGCTGTTGATCCAAAAGAAGGCAAAAAACCTAGTCTGAAGCCGCTTCCAATTTTGCAACAAACTAGGAAAAAATTCTTTCTTAACCCCAAAATAGCAATCAGATGTCTCCTTGAATCAAGCAGCTATTACCCCACTGATTAGAAATTATATCCCTGTATGTTATGTTTTTGCAAGTGTTTATCCAATTGCAGTTTAAACATCTGTAATGACTGAAAAAAACCACCTCTTCAGGCAGAGAATGCCATATTCTTATTGCTCTTACTGTAAAAATAAACTTTTCTTTGCCTTAGATGAAATCTTCTTTCTTCCAGCCTAAATGTGTGACCTCATGTCCTATGTATAGCCCTGTTTATGAATAGGTTTCCAGATGAAGGTTTGTACTGGCCCCGAATATATTTTTAAAATGTTATCATATCCCTTCTCAGGCGCCGTTTTTCCAAACTAAACAGATTTAATTTTTTTAACCTTTCTTCATAACTAAAATGCTCCATTCCTTTTATCAATTTTGTAGCACATCTCTGCACTTTTTCTAGTGCCATGATATCTTTCTTTACAACAGGTGCCCAAAATTGCACAGCATATTTAAGGTGTGGTCTTACCAGCGATTTATAAAGAGACAAAATTATATTTTCATCCCGAGAGTTTATGCCCCTATTTATACATGACAAAACCTTACTGTCCTTAGCAACTGCAGATTGACATTGCATATTGCTGCCTAATTTGTTGTCTATAACAATTCCCAAATCCTTCTTGTATGTGGTTATCCCTAGTTCACTACCATTTAGGGTGTAAATTGCTTGTGCATTCTTAACCCCGAAGTGCATAACTTTGCATTTCTCTACGTTAAATTTCATCTGCCATTTTAGTGCCAAGTCCCCCAATCTATCCAAATCCCTCTGCAACAAAGCAATATCCTGCTCACATTTTATTACTTTACAAAGTTTTGTGTCATCTGCAAACACTTAAACATCCTAAAACAGAACCCCGAGGGACACCACTTACCATTTTTGTCCAGACTGAAAATTTACCATTAATGACAACTCGTTGTACTCTATCCTTAAGCCAATGTTCTGCCTAAGAACAAGAATATTCATCTAGACCAATTTCTCTTAGTTTGAAGACTAACCTATTGTGCAGAACCGTATCAAATGCCTATTCTTCTACTTACTTCTTTGTAGAATGCAATAAGGTTAGTTTGACATGACCTATGTTTCATAAAACCATGCTGATTATTGCTAATAACAAAGTTCTTCCTAAAGAATTCCTGAATATTATCCCTTAATAGCCCTTCAAATATTTTCCCAGTTACAGAAGTTAAGCTCACAGGTCTATAATTTCCAGGCAAGGATTTTGAACCCTTTTTAAATATAGGAACAACATCTGCCTTCCTCCAATCCTCCGGTACAACACCTGAAACAAAAGAATCTTGAAAAATTAAATACAGAGGTTTACTTATTTCCCCACTTAGCTCCTTAAGTACTCGTGGGTGAATACCGTCAGGCCCCGGAGCTTTATTTACATAAATTTTATTTAATAGCTGTAGCACCTTGTCTCAAGTTATCCAATCACAAGTTATCTGCAAGTTTTTTGCAGAAATCATTTGCATATCTCTTGCCATAGGATCCTCATTAATATATACTGAAGAAAAATAGTTATTTAAAATTTCTGGCTATCATGGCTATGTACTGAATTGTATAGACACGTTGGCAAAAAATCTCATTGCATTGCCTGATATCCTCAATTACCTTTGATAGGAACTACTTTAGTAGCAGTAATTGTTGTGTCTACACAGGTTGGAGATTTATAGAAGTGAGTATATTCCTTTGCTTTATTTTTATTCATGAATTTTCATCCAATTTATTGAGTGTACATGTATAGGCTTACCATAATTTTTAGAGTTGAAACTGGGACCAATTGAAGTATCACCAGGCGTGGCAGCGGGTGGAATTACACACCAGTTCTCCCTACCTGTTGCTGTGGATACAAATACACATTGACACACACAGGTACGTATACATACATAGTGACACAGATACACATACACACTGATACACACATATTGGCACAGTTACACATACACAATGAAATATAAACAGGTCAACTGACACAGTTACACTAACACACACCGATACATACGCATATTGACACAAATATACATTGATACACATACAGATACATATATACTGACACTGATGCATTTACACACTGACAAAACACCGATACACTGACACACACAGATATACACACACATACTGACTGACACACAAACACACAAGTCATTATTTAGTAGATAAAAATGCAAATGAAAATAAAGATAGAATGATGAAATATTGTAGCAATACAGTATATGGAACGGTATGCTAAAATGTTATACAGTGTATCACAAAATGGTTAAAAACAATGGTTCAGCGGGCGGGGCCGGACCGCATGCAGGGGAGACTCCGGAGAAATCGGGCCTCTTAGGCAAATACTGCAACTCTGACACCCGCATGTCACAAGCCTGTTACCTTTCACAAAAATTAAATGTGCTGATAACTCTGCCATGATATTGTATGCCACTGAATAGCTTGCACTCGCTGTCATGGCGCTACAAGCTTGTCTGTAATATTGTGCACAAGGAAAAATAAAGAATTTAAGAAAAAAAAAAAGAATGTTTTGCACTGATGGTGGGGATTATTTATAAGTGTAATTCAATGATGTTATAACTTGAGAAAGGCTGTCCATATCTGCCGAAACATTGTCATGTTGTGCGTATTCCAATAAAAAGTCTGCAGTAAAATAAAAAAAAAAAGCAATTGTTCAGAAACTGGATATAGGTAAAAAGCCAGTTTATTAAACAAAAAAATGATAAAGTATTTATGATAAAAAATATATATCAGGAAACGTTCATACAGTTGTTACCAGTCATATAGAAGTTGGAAGCATGCAGAGACCTTCGGAGCAAATAAGAGCATAATACATGTATGTATGTAAAAAAGAAGGAAATTGATATGAGGTAGAACATGTTCGCATAAAGTGCATATAAATGTGCGATAAGGAGTTACATGGGGGAGACCCCACAGGACTTGAGTTCAGAGCCATAGAAAAGGTTAATGTGCACTGGAGAGGAGGTATTATTGATAAATTACTTGACCAAACAGAAGCCAAGTGTATTTTTGAGCTAGACACTAATTAGTCGTTGTACAATAGTCAAGATATGCCAACTCACATGGTATAGAGCCTAGGATGGGATAGGCTCAAATCACTCGCGCTTTAGTACCGTCTGGTGGTACTTGTCCCCTTTAAAAATGTTGGTGGATTCCCTCAAAAAAGGGAGATACAAAGATGGTACAATGGAAGATAATATAGTGTAGTACTTATGACATGAAGGTGAGTGTACTGTAACTTTAAATAAGTGCTCACCTTATTCAGAGCCCAAGTACTCGGCTCTGAGTTTGTTAGCGTGGATGTCAATAAGGGAGACACCTTCCCTCCTTGGAGCAGGTTTGATGAGGATCAAAAGGGACTTAATTAAAGAATAAAAAAATTTTATTTCGCCAGCAGGCAATTAAAATACAAACAAGTGGGATAAAAGAAACAAATAGAGTAAAAAATGCCCCACAGATGTCATTTAGTTCCGAGACACATTTCACCCTACTCGAGGGCTTTCTCAATCGGTATTTCAGATAGATAAAGAATAGATAAATAGATAAAGAATAGCTTAATAAATTAGTAGCAGCAGACATAATTGTCTTTCACATATAAATAGATTTTTTTTAAAAGGCTGAATAAATCAGTAGCAGCAAACTAAATAGTCTGAGGGGTATATCAACTAAACAGTGAAAACACTTTGCTGCTACTGCTTTATTCAGCCTTTAACCCCTTAAAGGACCACTCTAGGCACCCAGACCACTTCAGCTTAATGAAGTGGTCTGGGTGCCAGGTCCTTCTAGGGTTATCCCATTTTTTCATAATTATAGCAGTTTCAGAGAAACTGCTATAATTATGAATGGGTTAAGCCTTCCCCCTAAACCTCTAGTGGCTGTCTCATTGACAGCCACTAAAGGCGCTTGCGTGCTTCTCACTGTGATTTTCACAGTGAGAGCACGCCAGCGTCCATAGGAAAGCATTGAAAATGCTTTCCTATGTGACCGGCTGAATGCGCGCGCAGCTCTTGCCGCGCGTGCGCATTCAGCCGGCGGGGCGTAACAGAGGAGGAGAGCAGGAGGAGAGCTCTCCGCCCAGCGCTGGAAAAAGGTAAGTTTAACCCCTTTCCCCCTTCCAGAGCCGGGCGGGAGGGGGTCCCTGAGGGTGTGGGCACCCTCAGGGCACTATAGTGCCAGGAAAACGAGTATGTTTTCCTGGCACTATAGTGGTCCTTTAAGGACCAAACTTCTGGAATAAAAGGGAATCATGACATGTCATGAGAAACTGCTATGTTTAGAATTGGGTTAATTCAGCCTCTAGTGGCTGTCTCATTGACAGCCGCTAGAGGGCTTCCGCGCTTCTCACTGTGATTTTCACAGTGAGAAGACGCCAGTGTCCATAGGAAAGCATTTAGAGTGCTTTCCTATGGACTGGCTGAATGCGCGCGCGTCTCCTGCCGTGCATGCGCATTCAGCCGAGGAGGCGAAGAGGAGGAGGATAGCTCCACGCCCGGCGCTGGAGAAAGAGGTAAGTTTAACCCCTTCCTCCCCCCCCAAAGCCCAGCGGGAGGGGGACCCTGAGTGTGGGGGCACCCTCAGGGCACTATAGTGCCAGGAAAACGAGTATGTTTTCCTGGCACTATAGTGGTCCTTTAACCACCCTCCTGTTTCCATACCTTTTGGGTGCCAGAGGGTGGCTTCACCGGGGTCCAGTAGGCCTTGCTGGCTTAGGAGGCTGGGGCTGCTGGAAGTCTGCTCCACTCTCATTCCCCCTCGTGCCTGCATCCTCCCTGTTCTTCCCAAGTGTCTCTAACTGGGAGGAAGTGATCTTCCCTCACTTCCACCCAGCCACATCTGCCAGGGCCCCGGTCGCGCTGTTTAAGAGCTGAGGCGCCTGGCTTGACCCCTGATCAGAGGTGCTCATCAAGTGTCCCTACGTGTGACACCGGGATAAAATTACCGACCAGGTGGGATGATGGGACATCGCTTCTAAGCAGGTACATTCTAGGTCAAACCGGGTCATCTGGTAACCCTGTACATGTACCTTTCATTTACTTTTTACTATTTAGGGCAGTGAGCTATATTTCAAATGATATCCAGAATATATATATATATATATATTTTTTTTTTTCTCTTCACAAAGAGGTTTCTAGTATTTGTTTTTGTTTGTTCATCTACAAGAATTGTGCATATATTAGTTCTTATGTAAAATGTTTCAAAATGAGAATACAATAAGTCTGTTGTCCTCATGCCAAACTAGGTGATTATAAAGTAGCTGAAAAGCAGCCATATAGGGAATACAACTTTGCCGTGCAAAGAATTAAACAAATTAAACAAAAAATGCATCTACAACAATTAAACATTGTACAAACCATAGGGCAGTGTGTCTTTTGTTTTGAATATTTTTATTGTTATCATAACACATATGCAGGTAGCATCTTTGTTTGTAATAAAGCAAAGGTCGCCCACGCAGGTGCGTAGGTATCAGTACATGCGCATATTTTCATTTCGTCGTCTACGCAGAGGCTGGTTGGTCATTGCATGTGTGATATGGCAGATATATTCATATTCGGTTGCTCGCATTTTACATCTGTAAGACCTGTAGTGCACCTTTATTGCGGTTAAACAGACGAGTATGGTTTTGAGTGGTTTCTGCCCTGTGCATATTAATTTTTGTGGGCCCTGTGACTTTTTGCTAGTGTGTTGCATCATATCTAAACCGGAGATGAAGTAGTGGCGTACAAATTGTATCTTGCTTCTCTGTTGGTAGCATTCGGTTTGTTGACTTTCTATTTGTGCCTCTGCTGTGGGGCACAGATCTGACATTTAACCTTGTCCTGCTTTGCTCTGGTACATGTAACTGTAAACTACTTGTGCATCTAAGTATTTGTAGCTTTGTGTAGCTTGGTGTTTCGAGGTTGTGCTTGTCTATTTGTGCACTGTATTTGTCTCCGTAATAAGTGTGGCTATTAGGTATACTGAGCTGGGGTGCGCCAGTGTGTGGTATAGATTACATCAATGGTTCGAGTGTACTAGGTGTTGGGTATCCCTTGGTTCTGGTGCATTGTAGCCTGCTTGGAGGCCTGGTTTTCAGTGCGTGAATGTGCCGGTTTTGTATCTCTGTCACTGAGACTTATTGTTTCAGCCTATGGCGATACAATGATGAGGCTCGTCTACTAGTGTGGTTAATTCGGTTCCCGTGTAGTTTTTCCGTTTGGTTGTGTAGATCTCGGTGTGTGGTGTCTGTTGTTTTATCCGTTTGGGTCTGGGTCTGGTTTTGAGGGTCGTGGTTGGGTGTGTGCGCGTGTGTGACGAACTTTTGGTCCTGTGTCTCCCGTGTGTGTTCTTCCTTCCTATTCTGACTGCGGTGTTGCCTAACTTTGCGTCTTGGCTGTCTGTGGGTCAATTTTGGGCCGTGTTCCTTGTGGCTCTGTGTAGGACTGCATTGTTCTTATAGTGTTGCCTGTTAGTCATGTTGTGTGGAGGTGCCCTGTTAAGGTCTTTCGGTCTCGTATTGCGTCTGTGTCCGTCCTTAGAAGTGTGTTAATGAGTATGAATGGGGTTTGGTGTGGGGGGAGTGGGAAAGGGTGTTGGGGGGGGCTATGAGTATTTCCATCCCCTGCCACCACCCCGGTCCGCCGCACCCCTCCGCCTCCCGCCCAGTCTCCCAATTCCAGCTTCCCTTCTCCCATTCTTTCTGGCTACTGAGTGGCTAGGCGGTGTTGAAAGGCGTTTGATGTGGTTAATCGTGTCCAGTGAAACCAGCGTTTGGTGTATCAGTCTCAGTGTTTGCCTTTATATCTTCGTATTTCCTGGTGGTTTCTACCTTTCCCACCCATCGTGTTATCGGGGGGGTGTTGGCCTGCTTCCAATAGATGAGGATGATCGCTTTGGCTGCGTTCAGTAACCGCGGAATTACGGATCTGGTATATGTCTGCATGGTCATGCTGGTGTGATGGAGGAGAAAGGCGGCTGGGGACCATGGGAGCATCTCGTCCATTACTTTGTGTATTATGTCTCTAATTGTGTCCCAGAAGGGCCGAAGCCGTGAACATGCCCACCAGATATGCAGGAATGTGCCTGTTTCCTCCCTGCATCTCCAGAAGGTGTCTGGTATGTCTGGGTTCCTGACGTGAAGTG